ATAAAAAATTTAAACTCTGCAAGAAGGTGGGTTCTGCTTTTGTGTATTGGTTCTACATATTTAAGACTCTTGTGTTTGGAAACTTTAAATGTGACACCTGTTGTTTTTGAGTTCAAGAACCACAATTATTGGCTTGGTGCCCAGTGTACAGTATCCATATCCACTTATTTTCTTCCTGTTATTCTTTGTTACTGGCTGGTAGCTGGCCCGACTTTCCTTGTGGTGGTCTGTCCTGGAGTTTTACAGTGGTTAGGTGTAGATCCCTGAGTGACCACCCCCCCCCCACCTTACTTTATTGCCTTCTCTTTCCAGGCACCTCCAGCTGTCCACACCTGTCCTGTCTGGCAATTTGGGACATGCACAGTTGGGGTAATTCAGAGACCCTACCTTGGGAACCTGAGTGGGCTTGTGTAGCCCAGATAGGGACCCAGTGGATTCTTGGATCACTTCTTTGGAAACAAAGCAAGGACCAACTCCCTTCTTAGAGGAATGAGCACAGGTAGCTATGTCCAGCACATGTGGATCCAAGGTCCCATCTGCTGTTCACTTGGAGGAGGTTAAGATGGCCTGCTTGAGGGCAGTCTGCATTGGATTGGTTCCTGCCTAGCCCAGGGGCTCCCATCCCTGTACTCTATGGGGTGCTCCTCTTCTTGGGCTACCTTTGGTCTGTGTTGGGATCACCCACCACTGACTTTCTGCAGTCCTTTGCCAGATGCTCTTTTTTAGGCTTCAGGGGACTAATTTTCAACAAGTGACTACTCTATTTATCTGCCCTGCAGACAGGTGCCTGGTGGGGGGGGTTCTGGAGGGAGTACCCTTCCTTGGCTGCCCATTCCTGCCTCCATTGCCCACCTCCCCCAGGGCTGTGCACCCCTATTCATGTCCTCCACCTCCACAGACCCTCCTATGGTAATATGCATTTAAAAATTTTCTGATTTTGTATAGTTCTGTGAATTTTAACACATGCATGGATTTGTGTAACTGCCACCATAGTCAGAGTGCCCTCAGAGAGCCCTCAGGCCACCCCTTTGCAGCACTGTCCCTCAACCCCAGCCCCACTGATGTGTTCCCTGTGCTTATCATTTTGTCTTTTCAAGAATGTCACACACAATGGAGTCACACAGTATGTAATTTTTTGAGAATGGGTTTTTTCACTCAGTGTAATGTCTTTGAGATTCACCCACATTTTTTCATGTATCTGTAGTCTATTCTTTTTAACTGCCGAGTTGTTTTACATGGTCTAGTTATACCATGGTCTGTTTTATGTGCTGGACATCTTGGATCTTTCCAGTTTGGGCAATCATGAGTAAAGCTGCAGAGCATTTGCTTACCAGTTTTTGTTTGAACATAGCTCTCTTTTTCTTAAAGGTGGACTATCAAGACTGATATTGAATGTTTAGTGTTACATAAAAACAAACAAGAAAACCTTCCAGACTGCTTCCCAAAGCAGCTGTGCCATTTTGCATGTCCACCAGCAATGAATAAGGGTCCTCTGTTGCTCCCCAGTCCTTGTCAACACTTGACTTTGTCAGTATTTAAAAAAATCTTTAACCATTCCAATAGGTGTGGTGTGGTATCTCATGATAGTTTTAATTTGTATTTCTATAACAGGAAAAAATGATGAGAGCAGAAGTCAGTGAAATTGAAAATGAAAAGCAATAGAAAAAAATGAATGAAACCAAAATCTGGTCCTTTAAAAAGATAATAAAATTGATAAACCTCCAACAAGACTGGAAAAAGATTTAAATTTACTCATGACACAAATTAATAAACTCAAGAATGAAAGCAGTGCTGTCATAGACTCCATAGAGCTTAAAAGGATAGTAAGGGACATCGTGCTTTGCACAGCTGTGTCCACATACTTTGAATACCTGGGTGAAGTGAACCAATTCCTTGATGACCACAAACTACTGACTCACAGTGAAATAAATGACACTCCTTCTCTAGAACTGCTAGAGAAATTGCATTTATACTTTAAACACCTTCTGGAGAAAAAATCTGTAAGCCGGTGTGGCTGGCAGATTTATCAGACATTTAAAAAAGAATTCTGCACAGTGTCTCCTGTGTATTTTTAAGCTTTTTCCTTTGAAATAATTTTAGACTTGTAAGAAGTTGCAGAAATAGTACATAGAACTCATTTAGTTTCCCTCAGTAACTTCTTATATGGTCAGAACCATTTGGCATACATTCTTAATTACAAAGAATTTTGTGGTTACTGTGCTAAACAATTTAGAGTTCAAAAGTGTATGAAGTAAAAAATGAAATTTGTCTCACACCCCACCTAAAGCCAGATAAGAAAATTTCTTCCTGGGGAACCATTATTAATAATTTGTCCGATGTTTTTGCATATACATCACATTCATGTCTATATAATTTTAATTTACTGACTTTTATCACGACAGAATCATTATATATGTATTATTTTCTAACTTGCTATTTTTACTCAGTAGGAAATCATGAATCTGTGTAAGTGATACCCACCCCCAGTACTCCCCAGCTGCAAGGACATTTTTCACAACTGCAGCCTGCAGTAGAGATGTGTGGTAGCACACCAGCTTCTTTTCTGGTGGATAGTTAGGCTCTCCTGGTTACTTGCTGTTACACCATATGCTCCCCATCCTTGTTCCTGTGACATTAAGGGGGAACAGTTGGGTGCTTTGGGGAATGGTTTTTTAGAAATTGTATTGGTCAGTCAAGGCTTTGGTGATATCACTCGGGATTCGGCAGTCTAAGTGAGGCCGTTGTATGGCAGTGGAGGTCAGCTGCAGCCACACATTGTACCTTACCTGGAGGACTGGGAGAATAGCTGCCTGCCCTGCAGACCACAGTGAAGTCTGCCCTGGGGACAGGCCTAGGATGTTTTCAAAGCCCAACAGGGGCCTGGATTCTTGGCCAGAGAATAGCTCCACCTGCCTAAGTTTCTGCAGTTCTGTGCAGTGGGCTGGGGAGTGAGGCTCTGCTATTTGTCTCTTTGGTTTTGTGTTTCATTGTTCTCCATGAGAGAGTACTGAACTTGGGGTCAGAAAACTTGGATTTGAGACCTTTTACCAGCTTATCAGCTTTGTGCTCAAGCTCCATTCTGGATGCCTCCTTGCTCTGTGTATATCTGGAAGCACACCCTCTATGGTGTGCACACAGGGCCAGTGTCTGTCAAGTTGGGCATATGGAAATAATGGTAGTTGGTTACACGTGAAAAGATGGTCCCTGTCTTGTAAAAGTTACACTTAGGATTTTTTTTTTTTGCTTTATGCTGGTTCAAAAGCAATACATACTCAGTAGAAACTGTACTTTGAATTTTTTGATCTTTGCCAAAGCTAGTGAAATACAGTACAATATCCTCCTATGATACTCGGCTATAGGCTAGTGTGAGTATTCTGGGTGTTTAAGGTAAGCCAGGCTAACGTCTGATGCTGGGACATAGGGTGAGCATGAGACAGGGACTTAGTGTGTTTGTATCTCAATGTCCTTTGGCACCTTCAGCATCTTAACATTCATTTGAAATGGGACCATAGCAAGGACTGTTTCTGGGAAATGAATATTTAATTCTAAATATTCTGGAAAATCAACTTCTCTGCTTTTAAATAGGGCTTATCAATTTTAATTTAGTGTAACAGCCCTTAGTTTCCATTTAAATTTGTTACGTTTGGATATATTCCAGAGGAAACACAATTTTTAAGTAGGTAATGCTTTAAAATATGTATGCTTTAAAGTTTGCAAGTTGAAAACTTAATAAGCAAAATTGTGCAGTCCTATCCTGGGTCAGAAGAGGATGGCCACTGCAACACTGGTGTACTTCCAAAAGGAGCTGGGTGGGCTTGCTTAGAGCCTGGGGTCAAGGGGTGAGGTGAGGACAGTGCATCTCCAGGGGCATTTGGGTTAGAGCAATGGGTAGGTGTGCTCGTCCACTGAGAATGGGATGGTGTTAAAAATGTAGCATTTACTGAAGAAAACAGAAAACAGAAATTCATGGCATAGTGCCATTCAGGTCAAGTGAAAATACTTGAACACAAGCAGTATATGTCCTGCAGAAAACATTCAAGACACACTAAGGGCTGGGGGCGTGAATCAAGGAGTAGAGCCCCTGCCTAGCAAGCATGAGGCCCTGAGTCCAAACCCCAGTTCCACAAACACACAAACACACGCACACACAGACACACACACACATGCACACACACACACACACACACACACACACACACACACACTAAATGCAATAAGACAGTTGCCTGTGGGAGTGGAGGCAGAGCAAGCAGGATGAATAGAGGGGCAGGTAGAGACACCCAAGGGAGGGCCTGTACAGAGGTTCTTGCCTGTTTGTTTGGATGGGAGCAAAGGCTGGAGGAGGGCTTACAAAACACTAAAAACACTACCAGTAGTAGTGAGAATTGTACTAATATACAGTTGAAATAAAGCTGGTATTGAAAATTGTTGTAATATATATTTCTGGCCTAAATAAAATCTTCAGAATAATGTCAATGATCCACTATTAGCACTCTCAGTTCTGTGTAGAAACTAAATAGTACATGAAGACCAAGATGAGCTTCTAAAGTGTATTTCTGACCATATTCCCAGATGGTTTAACCTGTTTTTAGACTATCCTTCTTTATGCTAATTTATGGGAACAGCAGGCATTCCTGAGTCTCACCCCAGATACCCCATGGCTGAGGAGGGCTGAGCTGGGTCCCTTTCTCCAGAGCTTCTAAATGTTGAACCTGTATAGACATCATTTGAGGATCTTGGTAAATGCAGATGTGGATTCTTTCGGTTTGAGGTATAGCCTCAGAGTCTGCTTTTTAAAGTATTATTTACAGATAGTATAATTCCTCTTCCTAGCGTGCAGTTCTGTGAGCTTCTGACAGAAGTATACCACTGTGTAAAACCATCACAGTTAAGGTACAGAAGAATTTCATGACCCCAAATTCCCTGTCCCCTCTGACAATAGTCCCTCTCTCCCTCCAACTGCTGGCGACCTTTGTCTATCCTGACCCTATGTTTTTTTTCTTTTCCAGCGTAGAGGTAAGTATAATAACTCAGTGTGTAGCCCTTTGAGTCTGGCACATGAGATCTTCCCAATCCACTGTGTGTGTCAGCAGTTTGTCCCTCTTTGCCACCAAATGGCCTTCCATGTGTGGATCCATCAGTCAACCACTCACCTAGTTGAAAGACATGAACAGTATTTCCAGGCTTTAGATTATAAATTAATTTTTCATTAGAAATTTGGAGCTTTTTGCTGGGTGTCCTTGTGAGAGTGACATCGCCTTTAAACCCTGCGTGGCAATCCCTGATGCACCGCCGTGATGCCCAGGGAAGACAGGGTGACCTGGAAGTCCAGCTACTTCCTTAAGATCTTCCAACTTTTGGATGATTATCCAAAATGCTTCATTGTGGGAGCAGACAACGTGGGCTCCAAGCAGATGCAGCAGATCCAGATGTCCCTCCGAGGGAATGCTGTGGTGCTGATGGGCAAGAACACCATGATGTGCAAGGCTATCTGCAGGGACCTGGAAAGCAACCCAGCTGTGGAGAAACTGTTGCCTCAGATCTGGGGGAATGTGGGCTTTGTGTTCACCAAGGAGGACCTCACTGAGATCAGGGACATGGCTGCTGGCCAATGAGGTGCCAGCATCTGCTGTGCTGGTGCCATTGCTCCATGTGAAGTCACAGTGTCAGCCCAGAACACTGGTCTGGGATCCGAGAAGACCCTTTCTTCCAGGCTTTAGGCAGCACCACCAAAATCTCCAGAGGCACCATTGAAATCCTGAGTGAAGTGCAGCCGATAAAGATTGGAGACAAAGTGGGAGCCAGCCAAGCCACGCTGCTGAACATGGTGAACATCTCCTCCTTCTTCTTCGGGCTGATCATCCAGCAGGTGTTTGACAGTGGCAGCATCTACAACCCTGAAGGGCTTGACATCACAGAGGAAGCTCTGCACTCCTGCTTCCTAAAGTGTTTCGGCAATGTTGCTAGTGTTTGTCTGCAAATTGGCTACCCAACTGTTGCTTCAGTACCTCATTCTATTATCAATGGGTATAAGTGGGTCCTGGCTTTGTCTGTGGAGACTGACTACACTTTCCCACTTGCTGAAAAGGCCAAGGCCTTCTTGGCTGATCCATCTGCATTTGTGGCTGCTGCCCCTGTAGCTGCCGCCACCACTGCTGGTCCTGATGCTGCTGCGGCCCCAGCCAAGGTTGAGGCCAAGGAGGAGTCGGAAGAGTTGGACAGGGATATGGGATTTGGTCTCTTTGACTAATCACCAAAACAGCCAACTCAATTTTATTTGCAAAACAAGGAAATAAAGGCTTACTTTCTCTTAAAATAAAAAAAGAAATTTGGAACTTTAGAGGAAATGTAATTCTTTTTTTCATTGTTATTTTAGGTGACATCACTCAAAAAGGATATGAAAAGAAAAGGGCAAAGCTGCTGGCACGCTATATTCCACTTATTCAAGGTAAGATCAGCACCCTCAGGTGTCTTACAACCCTTACACTGTCTTTTAAAAGTTGGTGTAAAAATTGAGTATAGATTTTGAACATTGGTATGCTTTATATCTTATCTTACTAAAGGTGGGAAAATGATGTGTCTAGTGTTAGGTGATGAATCCGGGGCTTGGCATAGTTCTCATTGTTTTCATGGACATAAAACAGCCTGGCACATTTCCTTCCTAGGCTAGAACACATATGGTAAAGTTTTAGTTCTTCCCACATTACATTGACTTGTACATTAAACATATTCATCCTTTCAAGTGGTTTTTAAAATTAGAATATATTAGGTGTACAGAGGGATTTCATTGTGATTCCTTCTTTTGTGGAACTTCACAAGCTAATTCTAAAATTTATATTTAAACGTAAAAGGTCAAAGGACCAAAATATATTCAAAAAAATGAGGTGGGAAGATTTATCTGACCAGATATGAAGAGTTATTATAAACCTGTTGTCACTGAGGTTGATAAACACAGGTGGTGTGCAGGGGAAGAGACCAGACTAGTGGGGCAGAAGGGCCAGCCCAGCAGACATGCATATGTGTGAACTTGGCCTGTGGGAGGGGTGGCATATCAGCCATGGGGCTGCCGTAGCTATCTGTCCATGTGTAAAACACACAACATAGACACCAAGGTCAGTAGCCTGAATATTAGCCTAAGTACTAGAGGCAGAAACTATAGAGCCCTGGAAGATGTTAGAGGAAGTTCACTGCTATCTTGGGATGGGCACTAAGGACATCTTAACAGCAACCATGAAGGAAAGATTGGCAAGTTGGATTCCACTGAAGTCAGTAGCTCCTTTTTATGAAAAGGTACCACAAAGAGTGAAAAGACACAAATAGTTGGAAAAGAACTGGACCCAAAATGTAAGGAGTAGCGCTGTCCAGTGGCTCATCTGCCACAGTGGACGTGCTCCATAGCATCCCTTGTCACAGATGGCAGCTAAGCCCTGAGCTTTGCTAGTGCAACTGAGAGCCCGAGTCTCCCAACACAATGAGAATTGCAGCAGAAAAATGGGCTTACATCGGCAGTTTATAAGAGGAAACCCTAACAGTAGCAAGAAGATAAAAAGATGCTTGACCTCTGTTAATCAGGGAAGCACAAGTTAAAGCCACAGCCAACCCTCCATGTTGGAGGACCAGCGTGGGTGCAGGCAGTTGGGAGCGTGTGGTCAGGGCCAGGTACAACCGTCTCCCTTGGGTACATACTGCTTTGTGACTCTGAACTGCCCAGGACTCCAACCTCAGCCAACAGAACCCAGACCATGGAAACTCAGAGACCTGTGTGCCTCAGTGAGGATGAATCTCCATGAGATGGAATGAAAAAAGCCATTGCAGAGAAATGTCACCAACACGAGTGTTAAAAACACACCAGGCTGGGCTATCTAGAGGTCTTAAATACCTGGCAAAGAAAGAAACTGAGGTCCAGAAATCCACACCATTCCTCATGGAATGACCTAAGTCACCCTCGTGCTTTTTTCTTAAGCAGTGCCGTGGCTAACATCGATTCTTTCTGTGTAATTCTTTAACTGTGTGTTATCCTGGTATGATATACTCAACAAAGGCAATGTTGAGCAGATCATTTATATGCTGATAGTATTCACCCAAGACAAAAAGAATAAATCTGGAATTAAAGGACACTGTTAAAACATCTTAAAGCTCATTTTCCAAAAATCAGCAGTAACTTTCAAACTAAACAATCTCACTTCCATTCCTAGCCAGGGTGAAAAGGATGCTGCTGTACCCACTTGTGGGCACAGCTGACACAGTGAGGGGGAAACAAGGCAGGATAAATACTAGAGAACAAAGAAAATCAAACTTGATTTATCGGTGGTATTAGTTTTTGCCTGCTTATTTAGCTATTAGAATTAGTAAGATTTTTGGTTTCATAACCATAAAGATAGAAGATAAAATGTGAGAACCAGTGGCTTCTCTTACAGTTCTGTTTGAAATAGGATGAAATCTCACTCATAATTAAATACACAGTCAAATGCTTATTTACCAGAAAGACAAAGAACCTATATTAGGATCGTAAAATCTATTGAAAGATAACCAAGACCCTCATATCCTCATATGTGAAAAGCCTATCAGGTTCCTAAATAGAACGAGTAAGTACTGTGAGACTTGCAGTTTTCAAAGTAACCTGTGGACATAGTAGAGTGCAGTCTGAATACAGTGGCTTATTTTTTTCTTATAATTGGGGTTGGAAGTAGTACCTGTTACAAGGAGAAAAGTTGTGAGGGCTGCTAAGTTTTTGAGAAGGAGTGCCAGTGAGTGATGACTGGCCTTTGAAGAGTCAGGCCTGGCTGTGGAGGTCCTGTGGTAACAGGCAGCTGGCAAGGTGAAGCAGAGGGCAGCTGCCTCAAGAGGTCCCCAGGCAGGACTTCTGGGGGCCAGAACACTTCTCTTCTCTACCACTCACTAGTGGGCATCAATTTCAGAAGAATTGAAGTTCTAAATCCACTTTTAGCTATAAAATTGCAAAATTCAGGAGAATATTTGAATAATGTTTGGGCAGGAGTTGTCTTCACAAGCTAGTTTGGAGACTTGGAAACTTGAAAGGAAAGTACAGAGAGGTATGACCCACCACAGTGCAAAGTGGTCTCCAGTAAAGTGAGGCTTCCTGCCTTGGGATGGGGTGGGGTGCTTGTGACTGGGTGAAGTGATAGAAATTCAAAGACAAGGAAGCCAGGTGTCATGTGTATGGCTATAATCCAGCTACTCAGGAGGTGAGGTAGGAGGACTGCATGCAAGACTGGCCCTGGCAAAAGTGAGACTATCTGAAAAGTAAACTAAAGCAAAAAGGGCCAGGGAAGAGGTGTGTGGCTCAAGTGGTAGAGCACCTGCCTAGCAAGCATGAGATCCTGAGTTCAAACCACAGTACTACCAAAAAAAGAGATGAAAATTCAAAGAAGAGGAAACAGATGGCCAATAAACACTAAGTCATAACTCTCCTGCTGCTGACAAAGGAGTGAGGAACTGGCTCTGGCACACACTGCTTGTAGGAGTTTGAACTGCTTGATCTCTGTCAGTCATCCCACAATTTCAGATGGGTTTTGTGTCTTTGTCGAACAAGTGCATATACATCATCTTGTAACATCCTGCTTCCTAATCTACAATAAGATGCATATGTAGTCTTAAACTATGTATTCTCCAAACTTTTAAAATGTAGCTTTATGCAGTCACAAAAAATATAAAGCCAGTAGGAGAACTGCTCAGTACTGCCATATACTTGTATATGTACGTGTGCATGCATGTGTGTGTATTCATATATGTGTCCATGTGCTCATTTGTGTACTTGTGTGCATATGTGTGCATGTTTACATGTGTGTGTGCCTGTACACTTGTGTGGGTTGTTTGCATGTGTGTGCACATGCCCTTGTGTATCTGTGTGTTGTTTACGTGCATATGTACACATGCGCATGTGTGTGCATGGCACTTTGTGCATGTGTGTTGTTTGTGTGTATGTGTATGTGCAGTTTGTGCATATTTTTCATGTGCTCATGTGTATGTATGTGCATGCATGTATGCATCACGTGTGCAATCATATGTGTGTTCACGTGTTCATTTGTGTGCGTGCTCATGTGCATGTTTGCAAGCATGTATGTGTGCAGTTGTGTGTGTTTGCATGCATGTGCACTTGTGTGTGTTGTATGCATGTATGCATGTGCACTTGTGTGCATGTGTGTTTTCATGCATGTTTGTGTGCTGGTGTGTTTGCATGCATGTGTACATGTGCACTTTTGTGTCATTTGCATGCATGTGTGCATGTGCACTTGTGTGTTTTTACATGCATGCATGTTTGTGTGTGTGTGTTTGTGTACAGATTTTGAATAGCTAAGCACTGATTTCTGGAGGAGCCATTCCTACTTTCCAGTGCCACACTTACACAACATCACAGTATCTGCTGTGCTCACAGGCCTGCAGTGTGGGCCAGCTCAGAGGGCAGTGCTTCCTATCCATGCAGCAGAGCTGGGCACTAGAGTCCATGCAGGTGTCCTCTGTGGGCAGAGGCTGTGGGGCTGGGAGGCTCCCTGTGCCTGCTCTCTTCTAACATGGGGCTCAGGATGTTGGACTTGTTGTAGAGCCAGGTGGAGCTGTGTTTCTTCACGTGACCAGCATCTGAAGTCACACAGCATCACTTTTGCCATGCTGTGCCTGGCAGGGTGGCCATCAGACTGGGTTTGAGTTAGGGTTGGACTCAGTCTTATTTTGGGGTGTGGTCAGGGCTGGGAGCAGCCAGTGGGACTGGAATCTCTGCTGGGCATTTTTTTTTTCATGGTATGGGGGTTTGAACTCAGTGCCTTACTGCCTTGTTAGGCAAGCACTCTACCACTTGGGCCACACCTCCAGCCCAGTGCTGGTCAGTTTTTTGAGACATTTTAAAGAAAAGACTAAAGTTAAACCCTTTTTTTTTGGCAGTACTGGGGTTTGAACTCAGGGCTTCATACTTGCTTGGCAGGTGCTCTACCACTTGAATCATGCCTCCAGCCCAAACACATTATTTTTGTTGAATCTCAGCTGAAGGTTTTGCTTTGTGCTGTTTGTGAATGTTAGCAAATCAGCACTCAATAATAATAGAAACTTTTTTAGTGACATTGCATACTCTTACCCCACTCCTTCACTCACCATCCTGTGTCCTGAGTGGGGCTGTGGTCAGGGAGCCACTGTTGTGAGCCATGGGTTTGTTAGGGGTGTGTGTAGAGCAGGTGACATGTTTCTTGTCCATCCCAGCAGAGCCCTGATTTGGAGACAGCAAGGAGGGGTGCTGCTGAGGCAGTTGACTGACTCGCCAGGGCTCTGGGCACTGGGTTGTGAGTGCTGTTTGAACTGGAGTCGCTGTTGGGGTGTTCCTCCGCTGGTCTGTTTTCCTACCTCTTTGCCTTTTCTGCTGTACCTAAGAGATACTGTAGTTCCCAGTATGGTTGGTGGGTTGTTTCTCACTCAGGGTTTGCTGACACTGTGGATGAGTGGTCCTGGGCCATTTCAGATTCAAGAACAGTCACAATGCAGAAACCAGCTTCTCAAGGACTCTTGTAGAGTCTGCTGCCTGCAACACTTGTAGCTCACACATAGACCAAGCTGCCAGTGCTGTGCTGCCCAGGACACCCTGAGGGCTATGTGATGGTCCGCCTTGCAGATGGTGAACAAGAGGTGGGGCTGGGCCTGGCAGCATGGAGAGAAGGTAGTATGGACATGAGCATTGCCCTGACCCATGTTAATTACATCCTGATTCTAAGCCAAAGACTCTTCTGTGCTTCAAGGGCCATACCAGGTGTGGTACAGAATATGCTGTGTGGCCATGTGTGGGAAATGCTGTTTTAAATGGATATGTTCATAATTGGACAAGCACATTGTTTACACAAGATATTCCCCCAAACTTATGTTTTAGGCGCAGACCCGTGTCTGCCCTCTCTGACCACAGCTGCACCCAAACCACAGAGGTCCAGGCCTACGAACTCCAGGGACGAGCGCTTCCGCTCAGGTAGGGTCATGCCCAGGAAGCGAGGGGTGCACAGGATGGGTGCTTACACTCTGGCCACTGAGGCTTTTGGTGAGTTTTTCTTTGCTGAAATGTCTGCTGAGTAAGTTACTTTGACTTGAGCAATGATTTACATCATCCTTCTGTTCAGGAAAGCAGTCTAACCTTCACACAGCCAGTCTGATCTAATGTATCACTTGGCTCACATGCTGGAGAACTCTTCCTCTCGCCCTCACTGAGACAGCATGTCCACTTACCCACGTGGATTTCTGTGTGTCATAGAGCAGTTGTACCACTAGTGTAGGTGCTTAGGATTTCTTTCTTCAGTAATTTTGGAGGTTTTCTTTTAATTAGATTTCTGCCACTGTTTGGCAGTGTAAATATTTTATGAATATTTACATTTGTCTTTAATATTTTCCTTGGATCATTAGAATACCCATGGAAAAAGTCATGTTTTCACTCATAGGTTATGTATTGATAACATTTGAACACTCCCTGCTTACCACATTTTCATATTGTGTGATTGCATATTTCCTTTACCTTTACACTCTTTGGATAAACCTTTCTCAAAAAATGCTCAGTAGGTATAAAGAAGTGGTCATCTTAAGAATACCTAAAAAGAACATTAGATTTTTAATGTTTTTTTCCAATATGGTAATGTGAAGAAATGATCTAAGAAATAATTAGATAATTTGTTTCTAATTTGATACATTTATTGAAAAGTTATTATACAGAAAAGTTTTCTGACTATATAAATAATACATATTTAGTGCTAAATGTATGTAAAATAGTACACCTAGTTTTTACAAAGGTAAAAAATGATCTGAACTCCAAATCCCAAGATGACCATGTTCACCATCCCTCTGAGCCCTGAGTGCAGATACACACGCGTGCACACACACACGGATACCTGTGTGCTTCCTGTGAGTGAGGGCATGGGAAAGGTGTGCTTCCTTTTCCTCCCTCCATGCTTACCCACTCAACACCATCACTGCTAGTAAGCTGGCTTCTTCTCTTGTGAGCCTTGAACTAGGTTCTTACTCTTTGTCTTCTGCATACAAGTTCTTTATCATAAGTAGGACTTGCCAGGATTTTTCTCCCAGGCTGTGGTTTGTCTTTGCATTTCCTTAAAGTGTCTTTTGAAGATAGAGGTTTAATTTTTATGAAGTCTAAGTTATCATTTTGGGTTTTTTAGTGGATTATTACCTTTTTTTTTTTTTTTTTGTGGGATTGGGGTTTGAATTTAGGGCTTTGTGCTTGCAAAGCAGATGCTTTACCATTTGAGCCAGACCTCCAGTCCATTTTGCTCTGGTTGTTTTGAGGATGGGGTCTCCCAAGCTATTTGCCTGGGCTGGCCTCAAACCTCAATCCTCCCAATCTCAGCCTCCCAAGTAGCTAGGATTATAGGCGTGAGCCAGTGTTACCTGTCTTTCTCTTTGTTCTTGTAGCTAGGAAATCATTGCCAAGGTCTTTTTGTTTTCATACAGTTTTACAGTTTTAAGTTAGTTTCAGTATAAGTGTGGGGCATGAATCAAATATCAGTTATTCCTGAACCATTTGTTAAGAACACCATACTTTCTCCAGCGGATTTCCTTTGTACATTAGTATAGAAGCAGTTGCTTGTATACATGTGTATCTACTTCTGTACTCCATTCTGTTTCATTGGTTCATTCATCTGTCTTTGAGGCAAAATCATGTTCTTTCAGTGCTGAAATCAGTAGTCTAGTCCTTCAACTTTTCTCTTTATCCCTGTTACTTTTTATGTAATGTGCCTTTGTTTTTCTGGCACTTTTAAGATCTTTCTCCTTATCATCTTGCTGTGGACTGACTGTGTTCCCCCAAACTTATATGCTGAAGCCCTAAAGTCCCAGTGGAATGGTGTTTGGAGTAGAGGCCTTTACGAGGTAATTAGGGTCAGATGAGGTCATGAGAGTAGAGCCTTTGGTAGGATTAGGATCTTGTAATGAACACCAGGGTCTCCTCTCTCCTCTTTCCCCCCATTCATTGAGGATCAGGAAGGTGGCAGCTGTCTGCAAGCCAGGAATAAAGCCCTCACCAAGAGCTGACAATGCTGGCACCTCAAGTTTGGACTTCTGGACTCTAAAACATTGAGAAAATAAATTTCTGTTGTTGAAGGCTCCATCTTTGTTATTTTGTTATGGCAGCCTGAGCAGACAGACGCACTGACTCTAGTGATTTATGATGTGCCTGGTGTCGATTCCTCTAGTCTTGTACTTGAGGCTCGTTAAATTTCCTGAATCTGTTATTTTTTACCCCAATCACATTACTATTCTTTAGATTTCTAGTTCTGGCTTGTTTTATCTACAGTGATGTTTTCTTTTTTCCTAATACAGCAATAAAGCTTGATGTGTGGTCACAGTCACCCCCACATCTAATGCAGGGTCTCCAGTTTGTTTTCTTGCTTTTGAGCACCTCTGCCATGGGGACATTCAGCTGAGTCTGGTGGTAGTGCTTTTGGAGCCCTGCATGTCTGAGGGTCTTTCTGATAACCCTCATCTACACAGTAGCTTGGCGGGTGTAAAAGTCCAGGATGTGCACTTTTCCTTCAATACCGTGTGGCCTTCTTGTACCTGTCACTACTCCAGGCATTTGTCAGTCTGTTTTCTGCTCCTTCACGGTGACTTGCTCATTCTTGCTGGCAGCCTTCAGAATTATTTCCTTGTCTTTGGTGTTCATAGACTTTTTTTGTTCTTTTTTAAAAAAAACTTGTTTTTTTAATTATATTATTATTGTAGTGGGTGTACATTGTAACATTTACAAAAGTGCTTATAATATATTTTAGTTAAATCAATCCCTCCATCGTTCTCCTTTATCCCCCATTCTTAGCATAGTTTCAACAGGTCTCATTTTTCCATTTTCATATATTGGTACACAGTATTTCTACCTTATTCACCTTCCTTCACTCTTCCCCCTCCTACTGGTAATAACCCCTAGATAGGACCTGTTTTACCTTGTATCCTCCATTTTTGAAAAGAAAGACATTTTTGTTTTAAGATATTTATACAGAGAGTTTCATTGTGACATTTCTTTGTATATCCCAAATTAGTTCATCCCCTCTGTTTTTCTCCTTTCTACCTCAATACTTTCCTTATGGTGATTTCAACAGGTTTAAAAAATTCTATATTCATTCTTTAATAGAAAGTACATCAATCATATTCACCTTCTTCTTTCTCGTAGATTTTATTTTTATGTGTCTACTTAGGAATTTTTCATCTTTTTAAAAATTAGCACCATATAAGCCATTTAAATGTAAAGTATTAAAATGTTTTTAAAACATTTTGATGCAGAAAAATTTAAATGCATACAAAAATAGACATCATAATATAATGCCCTCTCTCCTGCCCTGGACCCATTGTCCAGCCGAGCAGTTCTGATCCACAGTCATTCTTGGACTCATTCCTTCTCATATGACTTTGAAGCAAATCTCAGATAAGTTATTTTATTTAGATGTTGTAATATTCTTGGTCTCTGTATCTGAAAAACATGTGCAGTAGTTTCCCCCTTTCTTTGGGAGATTTATTGGGGTTACATTCTAAGATAGAATGGAGCTACAGTGAGAGTTCTGACCCTATATATGTGATTTTTTTTTCCTATATGAATACACACACACACACCACACACACAGATTTAATACCTTTCCCATCTTAACTAAACACTGTAGCTGAAACTTTGGCAGTTTGAGGTATAACAGAGGAACTGTCATGTAGTTCTTTTTCCTTTATAATTTCATGTAGAAATTCTTGCAGTAAATCTTAGCAACCTCAACATAAGATTTTCTTCTTTGCTTAAGTCAAGAACTTTCATTTTTCATTTTTCTACATAAGGGACACATTTTACGGTTTTTCTTCAGCATGTCTCAGTTTCCAGCATCCCTACTCTTATGCTTTGAGGCCATTAGTAGATAAAACAAGGCTCACTGAAACACAAGCCCTGAGACCTCAACTGTCCAACCTGTCACCCAGACTTGCTGGGCAAAGGGGACTTGGGCCCTGGGCAAGACGGAGCATTCTGAACCGCATGCAGTTCAAATTTAAGAGCTGTTTATTTCTGGAATTATCCATTGAATATTTTCAGACCATGACTGACCATGGAAACCAAAATACTTATAAGGGGGAACTTCTGTATATATTTCTAAAAGGTATTGATATTATCATAAGGTAATTAACAACAATTTCTTAGTATCAGGTATTCAGACAATGTCCATATGGCTTTAAAACCAGCTAGGACTTGAGTAGGATCTGCATGTCATGGCTGACAGCTCCAGTCTTCCCATATAGTTTGTGCAGGAACCTGGCAGCTTTGTCGTGATGAGTCTGGTTGGGTTTCTTACTGTTTACAAGATGTTAACAGATGGCCTGTGTTCTTCTACCTGGAGGTGCAAAGTCCAATCACATTCTTTGCTGTGATGCTGAAGGCCCAAGATGCACTCAGCAGCAAAATGGCAAAGTCAGATTCTGTCTTTCCTTCTTCGCTCCAAGGCCGGAATGTGTCTGTAAAGAGAAATCTGCCCTCATTTACTATTGGGTACAGGAAAGTCAAGATGCGTGTTTAATTCTGTCAATTTTTTACCAGTTTTCAAAATAATGGGTTGGGTTGCTAGTATCCCAGTGACAGAGAGTTAATTTTGTTTCTTCCTCCTCCCCTCCCTTGCCCTGCCCTTCCCTCCTCTTTATCTCTCTTTGGTATTGCTTGTGACTTTTCAGGCCATGCTGGCATTCATCCTACCACGGTTCCGGCTGTGGCATCCTGACCTTTGGGAACCTCTTGGAATTGGCCCAGGGAGGTCTGAATGGTCTGGCCAAGATCTTTCTTGTTTGCTATTGGGTCTGGGTTCTCCAGGCTCACCATACACTTCCTACCTGCCCTAGGTCTGCCATTTCTCAGGCCCTGAGTGAGGGCAAGGTCTCAAGACCACAGTCAGGTCACCAGAGATGCTGATGGCTATTGGACTAGTCATTGTAGACATTTTTAGCACACAGAGGTGTGACATACTTTTAAAGATAAAATACCATGTTTGTTTTAGTGTTTTCTAACACTCAGATTCAGGACTGTAGGATTTTTTCTATTTAAATTTTACTTTTGAATTAGCATACATTAGTAATATGAGCAGATTTCATTGTGATAATTCCATACGTGCTCACAGTATACTCTGAACAAGTTCATCCCCTCCATTATATTTCCATTTCCCTCTTCTCCTCCCCTCCCCTTTTTCAAACAGTGTTTGGTGGATTTTTGTAGCATGCTTCCAATCCTCTTCGCCCTCAGAATCCTTTCCTTTTCCCTTCACCCCTCCCACTGATCCCCCCTAGACAGTCCTTCATTTACATTCATAGGCTGTAGGATTTTTGCCTCATCTCTTTATCCTCATTTATGTCTCCATCCCAGTGTTTCTTCTTGGTGTAACAGTACCCTCACCAACACCACTCCCAGAAAGCTGTGAATTCAGTGTGTTTGTCCACATTTGCTATTTCTGGAGGCCTTGACTGCATTAGTCAGTTGGAGGATGAGCCAGCAACAGATGCACACTTAGGTCTTCTTCACTTTCAGTTTGGGGATTTCCTTCTAACTTTATTTTAATGAATGACTATGGAAATATTTACCTGGTTTCAAAGTCAAATCTCTGAATAAAAGAATGTTTAGAGAAAGTCTGGGACAAATATGTGGGGACAGATGAGCAGACAGAGCTTTTCTTCCTTTTATGTCCAACAAAAACAAACAGAAACACCAGTCTTCTTTTTTACTTCTGATTGTACGAAGTAATGGGTTTCACTGTGATGTTTGCATAGATGAATATAATATTCTTTGATTATATTCCCTCGCTTACTCTTTTTACCCCCTTTCCAATCCTCCTTCCACATCCCTAATAGTCTCCCTTGTACTTTCATGGCTGTCTCCCTCCTGCCCCCCGATGCCACATATGTGAGAAAGCATAGATACTTGGTCTTTCTGAGTCTGGCTTATTTCCCATACCATGATGTTCCCCATTTTCCTGCATGTGATATAATTTCATTCTGCTTTGTGGCTGAATAATACTCTATTGTGCATATATGCCACATTTTCTTCATCTATTCATCTGTTCATGGGCACCTGGCTGATTCCATAACCTTTGTAACCAATCTGGTAAAAGCTTGTTCATTGCTATTGTTTCTTTATAGATGTCCACACTGAAGCTGTGCAGGCAGCTTTGGCCAAATACAAAGAGAGAAAGATGCCTATGCCTTCGAAAAGACGATCCGTCCTCGTGCATTCATCTGTGGAAACCTACACCCCTCCAGGTATTGATAAACTGCTTTTTACAAGTGCTTCACAGGTCTGGTGGTGTAGCACTAATTCTCATTGACTTGGAGTGTATTGTAGTAATTTAAAATGTTTCCATGTGCCCACATTCCTTACCTGGAAATCTTCAGTATACACAGTAGTGTTCTTTCCCAGATGGATACTTGCATTCTGTAGGACTTTGTGTGGATTTAAAATTTTTTTTTACTAGGATGCTATTTATTTCTTTTAAAAGATTTCTTTTTACCTATTACTAGTATGTTGTTGGCAAGTCTGACACAGGACAGTGTAAGATTGTTTGGAGAGTTTTGGGTATGTCTTGTTGTTGTTTATTGTTGTTGCCATCAGAAATGAAAACTTTCAGGTAGAGTCTCCCTTCAGCCTTGGTAAGCTGGACCAAGGTGCTCGCGTCTTTTGGCTTCATGTCCATGAACTTCCCCAGCTGCCCCTTGACTTCCCAATGCATTTGGAGTCATTACACAATAAGAAGATGGCTTAGTGGTTTGGGTAATGCTTCCTCGTGTAAAAACAAGTTTATTGCTGAAAAAACTTAAGAAATGTCTGTTAAATGATTGCTTCTGCTAAACAGAGGTATAGACACTATCCAATAGAAATAATTGTAAAACAATATAATAGAATGCATCCATGCTGACTGGATGGAACCTGAACTCACAGTTAATTTTCTTGACTGAAGCACTTGTCTTGAGGAAAGAAGTCTTTCTAGAACAAGTTTACTTGATGTCCCTAGGAGGACAGGCTGCTGCCCCGCACTGTACTACAGTGCCGTGGGTTCACACATAGGCCACAATCCAAGGTGCCAGCTGGGTCTGGCCTGCCCGTGGGATGTTGCTGTGTGGCTGTGATGTGGGGCTATGTGGTATGCAATGGTGATACTGGACACTCAGCACATATCGCAGTTGGGGTCTCCATTGTCTAGGGGACAGGGAGCGATCTTTACCCCTAGTGTGTGCCACCCTATGGCAAGGCCTCTCTGGGAAAGTTGGGGTTCATGGGACTGCTTCCCCACAGTAGGGTTCTTCCCATATCCTAGACTGAGGGTGACCTCCAGGATGCCACTTGTCCATGTGGGACAGGACTGTGCTGCAGGCCTGGAGGCTCCGTGAGTGAGAACCCCATCTCCCTTCTGACACATCCCTACATCATGCCTGTCGCATTATTTTAACCACAGACACATCATCTGCCTCAGAAGATGAGGGCTCTTTACGGCGACCCGGGCGACTTACCTCCACTCCGCTCCAGAGCCATCCCAGCGTCGAGCCCTGGCTCGACAGGGTCATTCAGGGCTCGTCCACCTCATCCTCTGCATCTTCCACCTCATCTCACCCGGGAGGGAGACCCGCTGCCGCACCCAGCGCCACCACCACTGTACTCGCGGGCCTCGCGGCCCACACCCACATAGGTCAGTAATGAGCTGCATGGCCCACCAGCAGGGAAGGGTCAGGAGTGCCCGAGACAGAGGAGTATGTGCAAAGTGGCAGACCACACAGCCCTGAGTCACATGATGGCTTGTCTGCCTGAGCTCTTCATAATCACACTTGACAAAAACGGGTGTAAATATTTGGTTGTATGTCCTCTGAATTCAATCCTTAATAATCCATTGAACAGTATGGCCCAGTTGTCAAAATTTTCTCTGTTCAGACCTCAGTCTTTCTCATCTGCAAGGCACTTTGGGGAAAGAACTAGTTCTGTGCTTCTGTGGTCTGAGAGCCCCAGACTTGTGGCATCCTCTCATCCTTTCCTGCTCTCTACATGGAGAAGCCTAATGGCTACTGCTGGTCATTACAGCCACCCTTGGCCTGACTGCCTCTCAGAGACATGGCTGCAGGGCCATCTATTGTCCCTGTGCCTGGGTGGGGTCCTGAGGCAGGGCCTAGGGCTACAGCTGTGGCCTGGCCTATCTTCCTCCAGATGCACCTCAACCTGGAGATAAGGTGTTAGTCACAGCCAGTCATGCGGATGCAGGAATCTTAGCCAGATTGTGTAACCCTTTGCATTACAGTAATCTTAGAAAGGAAAGAAAATGTCACTTTTCATCATTTGAATCTTTGTTTGTAAACAGAAGCAGTTGTATAGTCAACTGTGTGTGTGGCTGGCATATGAAGCTCACATATGTTCTTGTCCTGGTACCTTAAGATATAGTCTGTATTGTTGAACGCTTATCTTAACCCCTGGTTTCCCTAGAGGAAGAAGAAAGACAAAAATCATGTGATTGTAGTTTGCCTGAGCTTCACAGCTGCTTAGTGGGCAAGCCACATTTCCCCATTCCTCCTCACTTTGCTTTTTTTTGTTGGAACTGAGGCGACAAGTTCCTTTCGCCTACCAGGACAGGATGGCATTGGCAGGGCAGTTCCTGTGGGCCTTCCGAGACGGTGCTGGGCTCCTGTGCTCACTTTCTTGCATGTCAAGTCTTGGTGTATTGTCTAGATTGGGAGTGAATGAACAGTAGTGACCCACTGTTCCTGTCTCAGCATCTTCTGTGGGGCCTGAGGCTGCTCTTTGTTTGTTTGAGTCAGTATACAGGTCTACATATTCCTGTTGGTCATGTGTTTTTCCACAGCTGTGTAAGTCACATGCATACTTGTGGTGCTCGCTCTGTACCCACTCTGTGTTTCTTACTCTCAGGAGCTGCACAACAACCAGAGTGGCAGGAGCAGGTGTTCGCTTGGAAAACAGCTGCCTCAGTGGTTCTGTACCTTTCTTGGGGTCCTGTGTGTGGCTGGTAACTATGGCCCACCTATTCTCACGGTTGTTGGCAGTCCACAGATGAAACATACATCCTGAGATTTAACTAAACAGAGACACTCAATTAACATACAGGGGAAACAAATACCAGCTGTTGAATGTTCCCCTTGCTTTGTTCCTGCTTCTTGGAGCTCTTTCCTAGGTAAAAGATACAGGGGAGAATGCAGAGCACTCACAGTTTATTGGTCACTGCCAAGCTGTGCAATCATTATTTCTCCATGGGTTAGAAATAGAGGCAGGGTTAGCATGAAAAGTTAACAGCTCAGTTTGACCGCACTACCCTCAGTGCTCCACAAGCACTTGCTCTGGTGCATGTTGGAATCAGATGTGTTTGTTTTCTGGAAAGGCGCTGGCTGCAGGTGTTTATAACTTAGGGTTGTCACCTATGCTGGTGGATGACCCTCCTGTCTCCTGCAGCTGTGCTGTGAGGGCTTCCCTTCCTTTCTCATTTTGTGATTAATTCTACCAAATTAATAAAAATCTCACCAGGTGCCGGTGGCTTATGCCTATAATCCTAGCTACTTGGGAGGCAGAGATCAGGAGGATCACAGTTCAAAGCAAACCTGAGCAAATAGTTTGAGCGACCCTGTCTTGAAAATACCCCCCAACACAAAACAGGACTGGCAGAGTGGCTCAAGCAGTAGAGCGCCTGCCTAGCAAGAGTGACGCCCTGATTTCAAACCCCAGTACTGCCAAAAAAAGCTCAACGTGGATTCTGTTTAGTACCTTACTGCAGATGTGGTTTTCATGATCTGAGGGTCTGTAGGACATAGTTGACTTGAATTTCTAAATCTCAAAAATACAGGTATTGCTTCCTTAATCTGAAAATCTGAAACTTTAAATGTCTTAGGGATCCAGATCTGAAATCTGGAGTTCAGATTGGAATGTTCAACCAGTAAAGTATGAAAATGTTTCAAAATGCCAAAATCTGTGACATCTGAGACGCACTGACATATGAGACACACTGTTCCTGAGCAGCTCCTACAAAGGACACTCAGCTTGTGCTCACCTTCCCCTCCTTGTTACAGAATTGTCCTTTGGTTTAGTCTGAACCAAGGAAAGAAATATACAAAGAGGAAGAATATAGTAAATAAAAAATTGAGTTAGAACATATTAGAAAAAGGTAATTTAAAATGTAGTCATGTCAGTTTTGAATTAAAGGAATCAAATACATTGAACATTTGGCTCAAATACAAACACCCAGACCTAAGACAGTGCTTACAGAAGTTCACTTTAAGCTTATTTTTATGTGGTTATTTAAAAACTACTTTGTAGTGCACAAGTTACCACATATACTTTTCTTGCCATGTATACTTTTAACATCAGTTATTCTTTTTGCTAGATTTGAAAGGGTAAGGAAATTTCTCTTTAAACTGAAAGAACCTCCTGATAGACAACTTTAAAATACCAGTTTGCTCAACATCAAGCCTTTTCAAGAGTTGTGAAAACTGTCATTAAAGCTGTGAGTTTCCCCAAAGGTGCTTTTCTGCTATGTAATAGTGAGTTTGTGTTTTGCTCCCTGTGTAGTTTCAGCTTTCTATACATATGAGGATTTCTTACTTTGCATGGTACCTGGGTTATTATTGAAATGGGGATGTTTAGAGTGTGAGAGTGCACAGTGAGTCGGGAAGCTCATTAAAGTGGTACACAGATTACTGGTCTCCATCCAAGAGTGATGTGAGTACATTCTCTTTTAAGTGAATAGGTGTCTGTCCTCAGCACTGTGGTGCAGCACCATTTCTGAAAGCTGTTCTATGCAGTGCCTTTCCTAGGTTCAATGATAATCCCTATAGCCACTTACAGTCAGCCAGCTTTCTGAACAGGAAGATGTATTGTGCCATGAAAATTAATATACGCATGTACATTGAGACAATGGAGAGAGAATGTTTAAACTTCTAAAAATATTTTGCATAGTCTGTCTTTAAATGAGGCATTAATTCATTTTACTTAAAAAAATCAGCTGTGGTCTCTTTAATGTTATAAACATTTTCTTGTTTGTTTGAGACTGTGTTGTGCTATATTGCCCAGGCTGACCTTGAACTTGTGATCCTCCTGCTTCACCTTCCAAGTAACTGGGCTGGCAGGCACACATCACCACATCCAACTCATTGCAGCAGTGGGGACGGTTTTGATTTTTATAGTTTTATTCATTGAGGCCTGTGAAAGTGGTATCTTTATAACATCCAGCATATTTTTTGGGGTTAGGGAAGTTTATAGAAGTCTCACTGTTGTTTCATGGTGTAACAAAAAGTGTTCCAATAATAACTGATTTCATATATGTTTCTGCTTCCTTAAGGGGGAATATCTAACTAAAATCTTGTCTCTGTGCTACAGTTGTAGCCCTGGATCTAGATGCCTCTGAGAATCAAACCGTCCATGTGCACACATCCTGTGTAGTGTCTGAGAATTTGCAGGGTTGGCAAGCCTTTGGTTTGCCCGGGAAACCAACTGATCAGGATTTCATGTTTCCCTTGCTTAGAGCTTTCCAGTGAAGCTTTAGACTGATGGGGTTTGAACAGTAACTTAATTCTTATTTGAATTAATGGCCACTTCCATTTGGATGTGTTTTTCAAAACAGATCTGCACCCTGCTCCTCCTGATGTCACCACCGGGCTAGTGGAGCACTCGCACTATGAGCGACCACAGGTGGCTTCTGTGAGAGGTGTTCCTCGGGGGTACAGTGGGAGCATCCTGGAAACAGCAGATGGTGAGCAGGTGCCTCTTTCTCTTTTGAACAGCAGAGCACAGATTTTCTCCTTGGGCACTGAACACAGCTCTAGTGTATTCCCTATAGAAAACCTGAGCCAGACATCAGTTTTAATCCCTTTGTGTAGATAAACAGTAACCAGTGTGAATGAGTGGTATCACAGAAACCATAACATTGAGGAATAATTGGAAATACTTATGGAATTGATCAGACATGGAGCAGAGAGAGTACGGAGGGAAAAAAAATCCCCAAATTTAGATTGGGTGCAAAATGAGTAACAGTGAAAGTTCCCTACACCACATCCTTGTACCCTCTGAGGTTGGTGCTGCTGCATTGTAGTTCCCATATTTAGGCCCAGAGAATGTACTTAGAGGAGTACTTAGAACTCCAAATACTGATATTAGGAAACCAAGAAGGATCTAAACTCAGTGATTTAAGAGTTGCCTTAAGAGTGTGGAAAAAGACCGGATATGGTAGGTCTCACCTGTAATCCTAGCTCCTTGGGAGTCAGAGATTGGGAGTATCTTAGTTTGAGGAACCTGGGAAAAGTTGGTGATATCCCATCTAAACAGAAACAAGCCGAGAATGGTGGTGCACACCTGTTATCCCAGCTATGTGGGAGGCACAGGTAGGAGTATCTGGACAAGAGTACCCTTGCCTATAAAAATAACCTAAAGCAAAAAGCCCTGAGGTGTGACTCAAGTGGAAGAGTGCTTGGGTAGCAAGCACAGGGTCCTGAGCTCAAACCCCAGTACCACCTCCAAAGGGGGAAAAGAACAGAGTAAATCCAAAGTAAATAGGAGAAAGGAAATAATAAATATAAGAGTATGAATCAGCATGAAAGAAAAGACAGTAGAAAAAAATAAACCAAAAGCTAGTTCTTTGAAAGATAATAAAATCCAATAACCTAGCTGGATTGATCAAGATAAAAAGAAAGAATGAGGCAAAGCAAGAATACCCACTTTTGCATACTTCTATTTAATGTAGTAGTGAAAGTTGTGGCTAGAGCAAGTATGCATACAAGTTGTTAAGAAGCAGCAGAACTATCTCTGCTTGCAGGTGATACGATCTTGATCATACACACAAATGTTAGAACTTATAAATGAATTCAACAACTTAGCAAGACAGAAAGCCATAACACAAAATCAGTTGTATCTCTATGTACTAATAGCATACCACTTGAAAAAGAAATTATAAAAACAATTCCATTTATAATAGCACCAAAAAGAATTAACTTAAGCAAGGACACAAAAGACTTGTACAGTGAAAACTTAAAAAACATTGCTGAAAGGAATTAAAAACAAATAAATGGAGCATCCCATGTTCATGGAATAAAAGTCTTAACAGTTTTAAGATTAACACTACACAGAGCAATCTTCAAATTCAACATTTCTCCAAAAATCCGATGACTGCTTTTTTTTTAGAGAAATAGAAAAATTCCTCCTAAAATTTAGAATAGTCAAAGTAATCAAGTAAATCAAAATAATCTTTAAAATAACCAAATATAATCAAAATAGTAATCGAAATAATCTTTAGAGAGAACAAAGCAGGAGTTCAGAAATAAACTCTCATGTATATGGTCAAATGATTTTTGACATGGGTGCCAAGACCATTAGGAAGAAGATAGTGTTCAACAAAACAAATGGTGCTGGGAAAACTAGATATCCACATACAAAACAAGAAAGTTAGATGTTTTTCTAACACTACATACAAAAAAATAAATAAATAAATGAATCAAAGGCCCAAATGTGAGACATAACATTATCAGACTCTTAGAAGAAACATAGGACAGTAACTCCATGACACTGGATTTGACAATGATGTCTTGGGTATGACACCAAGGTATAGGCAAAAAAATAGACAAGTTATACTTAATGAAAAAAATTTTTATGCATCCAAAGATGCTATCAACAGAGAAAAAAGGGAATCCAGCAGATGGGAGAAATATCTGTAAATCATGTATTATCTGATAAGGGATTAATATCTAGACTCTACGGAGAGCTTCTAGAATCCAACAGAAAGTAAGAAAACTTTTTCAATAACCATCAAGAACTTAAAAACACATTTTTCCAAGAAAGATGTATAAATGACCAGTGAGCAGATGAAAAGATGCTCAATGTCACTGACTCGCAGGGTGAAGCAAAGCAAATAGTGAGGTACCATCTCCCACCCATAGGATGGCTACTGTTAAAAACCCCAAACCAGAGAACACCAAGTGTTAGTGACAAGGTGGAAAGATTGGAACTCTTTGTCCCTTAGCAGGAATGTAAACTGGGACAGCCCCTGTGAAAAACAGTGCAGCAGTTCTTCAAAATATTAAAAGTAGAATTATCATATGATCCATCCATCCTATTTGTAGGTACAGGCTGCTAAACTGACAACAAATTCTCAGAGAGATATTTGCATATCTATGTTCACAGTAGCATTGTTTACAATAGGCACAGTGTGCTAGCACCCAAGCATCTGTTTATTAGAGCAAATTGTTGAAATGTGCTGTATACATACAGTAGAATATTGTTCAGTCTAAAAAGGGAGGAATTCTGATATGTGCTGCATGTGGATGAACTTCAGTGAAATGATCCAGTCATGCTGTACAATTGCACTCACACATGATACCTAGAGTAGTAAGGTTCAGATACAACTAGAAGATTGGTGGGCACCAGGAATAGGGAGGAGGGAGTAACTAGTTAGTGCTTAATGGGAGCAGACTTTCAGTTTACAAGATGAAAACAGTTACAGACAGATGGTGGTGAGTGTTGCACAACATTTGACTGTATTTTATACCACTGAACTATATCCTACAAAAGAAAAACCATACGATCATTTCTTTAAAGCAAAAAGTCATTTGACAAAAATCATGATAAGGCCAGGCAGGGTGACATACCTGTAATTCCAGCTATATGTGGGGCAGAGATTAGGAGGATCACAGTTCAAGGCCAGTCCAGGTGAAAATTAGTGAGACTCTATTTCAATTAGCTGAGCATAGTGGCATAGACCTGTAATACTAGGTACTTTAGCAGCTGTAGGTAGAGGATTGAGATCTGAGGCAAAAACATGAGCCCCTACTTGAAAAATAACTAAAGCAAAACTGGGCTGGGGGTATGGCTCAAGTAAATGGAGTGCCTACCTAGCAAGTACAAGGCCCTGAGTTCAAACCCAGTACCAACAAGAAAGAAAATCATGATTAAAAACTTTCAAGAACTTGCTGGTGCTGGTGGCTCATGCCTGTAATCCTAGCAACTTGGGAGGCTGAGATCAGAAGGAGTGAGGTTCAAGGCCAGGCCAGGCAAACAGTTTGCAATATACCATCTCCAAAATAACCAGAGCAAAATGGACTGGAGGTGTGGCTTAAGCAGTAGAGTGCCTGCTTTGAGTTCAGACGAGATTGGATGTGTTCACGGTGGTATGGCCATAGACAAAGCCCTGAGTTCAAAACCCAGTCCAACCAAAAAAGAAAGAAAAACAACTTTCAGTTACTTTCGAATGGCTGGCGATGTGGCTCAAGTGGTAAGAGCGCTTGCCTAGCAAGTGTGAAGTCCTGAGTTCAAACCCCAGTGCTGCCAAAAAAAAAAAAAAATTTAAAGGAAGAAAACTTCCTTAACCTGTTGAAGGGCATCTATGAAAAACCACAACTGAAAAATTAAGGATGATTTCCCTAAGATGGAAACAAAGCAAAGATGTCAGCATTTTTAATCAACTTAGTCCCAGAAGTTCTAGACATTAAAATAAAGCAAGAAAAATGAGTAAAAGGTGTGAGGTTTGGAAAGAAACTATAAAACTGTGTTTGAAAATAGATAATATGGTCATACATGTGATGAAATCTTAACGATTCTGCAAAAACATGCTACTAGAACTGGTATAAGGTCAACATAGAATGTAACTGTAGTTCTATAGCCTCATAACAAATAATTGGGAAAAGTTTAAATACCATTTACAATTGCATCAAAATACAACATACTTCAGGGTAACTTGAATGAAATATATAGCTATTTGGAAATAGCTATTCACTGAGAGCTACAAAACAATACTGAAAAAATTCTTTTGGCCATATTGGGTTTGAACACAGGGCTTCATGCTTGCAAGACAGGTGCTTTAGTGCTTGAGCCATGGCTCCAGCTCTTTTGGTTATTTTGGAAATAGGGTCTTGCTTTTTGCCCAGGCTGGCCTAGATAGTGATCCTCACATTTTAAGCTTTCTACAGTATCTGGGATGATAGCATGCTACTGCACCCAGCTTTTTTTTCTGGTCAGATAGTGTTGTGGGAATCTCAAACTGAGATACGGGACACTGAGGCAGTTTACGAGGAAGCAACGTTTTATTGTGTCAGCACAGACCCCAGTGGACTCATGTCCAAAGGCTGAGCCCTGAGAACAAAGGGGTCTCACCTTATGTACCCTGCAAGCAGGTTATAGAAGCAAAAAGCAAGGTCTAATCCATATATGATCATATTTAATTCTATAAGCTACTTTACCCTAGGGCTAATGTAACTTTCCCCCTCCCCAGTTCTACCTGACCCTCTCCACGTTCAGATTCCTCAGGTTTTATCTCTCTGCTATCCCATCCCTACCTCTCTGCTACTTTATCAGAACTCAGGCCTACTCTGTTTTCTTCTGATCTCCTTCCTGCTACAATAGAGTCTTGCAAACTTTTTTTGTCCTGGGCTGGTCTGGAGTCACAATCTTCCCAGTTTCAAGCTCCATTGAGCTGGGGATGAAAAGTGCATGCCACCAAACTGATTTCAAACTGTGATTCTCCTGATCTTGTCCACAACAACAAGTCACTAGAATTGCAGTTGTGAGCCACTGGTTCTTGGCTGAAAAAAACTTTTAAAAGAGCTAAATGAATGGAGAGATATACCATGTTCTTTGACTGGAACATGCACTGTTGTTAAAAATTCTAATTCTCCCCCAATTGATCTGGAGGTTCAATGACATATCAATTAAAATCCCAGCAGGAATTTTTACAGAAATTGACAAGCAGGAATGGAGCAATATACAGAA